TACTGTCTTCTTCCAAAGAGGTAGCCAATTTGATTCCTTTGTTTTCCATCTGGTGAGATCCATGTGTATAGTCACATTTTATGTTTTTTAAAAAGGTATTTGAAATTAGTAAGTCACTGGTGTTGCAAAATTCTATCATGTGATCTCCAGCACCATTTCTATCACCAAGGCCATATCTTCCAACTACTGATCCTTTCTCTTTGTTTCCATCTTTCACATTCCAATTACCATTAAATACCAATGGATCTTGGTTTCATGTTTTACCAGTTTCAGAATTTAGAAGATAGTAGTGTTACTCAATTTCATCAAAACTTGCTTTAGTGATTAGTCTATAAATTTGAATAGTAGAGTTATTAACTGGTCTTCCTTGTGGTTGATGGTGCTTAAATGCTGTTGAGTAGATTCTGACTCATAGAGACCCTGTATAGAGTTTCTGAGGAATGACTTGTTGGTTTGAATTTCTGAACCTGTGGTTAGCAGTCTAATGGTTATCCTATAGCACCACACCAGTCTTCATTGTTGTGTTGTTAACTGCTGTCGAGTTGGTTCTGACTCATAATGACTCTATATAGGGTTTCTGAGGAGGGGCTGGTGAGTTTGAACTGTCAACCTTGTAATTCAAACAGACCTTTCAGTCCATTGCATTATTCTATAGCACTACAGGAATATTAAGGAGCTCTGGTAGTGTAGTGGTTACGAATCAGGCTGTGAACTGGAAAGTCAGCAGTTCGAAACTACCTGCTGTTCTGCAGGAGAAAGATGAGGCGTTCGGCTCCTGTAAAGATTTACAGTCTCGGAAACCCTGTACAGGGTCGCTATGAGTCAGAACCGACTCCACGGCACATAACAACAACAACAACAGGAATATTAATATTATCTTATTAAACACATCACTGTACTTCAATAGATTTTGAAATGTTCTTCTAACCATGAATGTAATGCCATTCCTCTTCAATTTGATGTTCCTTGAATAATAAACAATATGATTGTTGGATTCAAACTGGCCTATACAAGCTCATTCCAGTCCATTTTAGCTTACTAATACTTATAATCCAGTCAGTCTGTCATACTGCACTATATCAAAAAGAAATATTCAACCATTTCAACAGGTAGCATATGATCAAGAACTGATGATACTGAAGGCAGAAGTCCAAGGTGCACAGAAAGTGTTGTTGAAAAATAAGGCTCCAGGAATTGACAAAATACTTATTGAAATCTTTCAACAAACTGATGCAGCACTAGATGTACTCACTCATCTATGCCAAGAAATTTTTAAGACTGTTACCTGGCCAATTGGTTAAAAGAGATCCGTCTTTGTGTCCATTCCAAATAGAAGTGTCTCAATAGAATGTGGAAGTCTTCAGACAAAATCATAACATGTCATGCAAGTAGCAATTTGCTAAAGATCATTCAAAAACAACTACAACAGTACATCAACAGGGAAATGACTCAAACTCAAGCTGGAGTCAGAAAAGAACATGATATCATTGCTGTTGTCCAGATGGATCTTGGATGAAATCAGAGAATACCAAAAAGGTGTTTACTTGTGCTTTATTAACTATGCAAAGTTTAACTATTAACTAAACTTTTGACTGTGTCAGTTATAACAAGCTATGGGTAACATTGTGAAGGATGGGTATTCCAGAATACTTAATTGTGCTCATGAGAAACTTTTACATAGACAAAGAGACAATAGTTAAGAACACAACAAGTGATACTTGTTTGACTGGTTTAAAATCAGGAAAGGTGTGTGTCTGGGCCTTATTATTTCACCATAATTATTCAATATTCATGCTGACCAAATAATCTAAATAACTAATTATATGAAGAAGATCGTGGCATCAGGATTGGAGGATTACTCATTTACAACTTGTGATATACAGATGACTTAAAATACTGTTGAAGATCAAGGACCACGACCCACAGAATGGATTGTAAAGAAGACAAAATCCTGACAACTGAACCAATAAATAACATAATTGTAAGTGGAGAAAAGATGAAAGTTGTCAATGACTTCAGTTCCCTTGGATCCATAATCAACACTCTTGGAAGCAGCAGTCAAGAAATCAGAAGATGTATATCGCATTAGGCAGATCTGCTGCAAAAGACCTCTTTACTGTGTTCTAAAGCTATTTGTTTGAGGACTAAGTTGCACCTGACCCAAGCCAAGGTATTTTCAATCATCTCATATGTAAGTGAAAATTGGACAATGAATAAGTAAGACCATAGAAGAAACGATGTAGTAGACTTATAGTGTTGGAGAAGAATATTGATTTCCAGAAGAACAAACAAATCTGTGTGGAAGAAGTACAGCCAGAATGCTCCTTAGAAACAAGGATTGTGAAATTTTGTCTTTTATACTTTGGTCATATTATCAGGAGGGAACAATTTCTGGTGAAAGACACTATACTTGCTGGAATGGAGGGTCAGTGGGGAGAGGAAGGTCCCCTGTGAGGTTGACACTCTGGCAGCTGTGATGGACTCAAGCATAGTAACAAATATGAGGATGGCACAGGACCCGTGAGAATTTCATTCTGTTGTGCCCTGGGTCATTACAAGTCTTAGCCAACTTGATGGCACCTAATAACAACAACAGTGTTTAGAATATCTATGTTTTGTGTTCTATTTCATTTTGATAGCTTCCAGTTTTCCTAGATTCATACTTCATACATTTCACATTCCAACTATTGATGGATGCTTGCAGCTATTTTTCCTCATTTTGAGTTGTACCCCATAAGGAAATTAAGGTTCTGAGAGTTTTGCTCCATCACGTCATTATGGTCAACTGTAGTTTGAGGAGGCGACTCCTCCCCAGTAATCATTTGAGTGTCTTCCAAGCTCAGGCTCTAATCTTTTGACCCTATATCTGACAATACTCTGGTGCTATTAATAATGTTTTCATTCTCCGGCACTATATGTGACAATGTTCCATTGCTATTTAGAAGTTTCCCATGGTTAACTATTCAGAAGTAGTCTCCCTATACTTGTTCCAAGTTTGTCTTAGTCTGGAAACTCCACTGAAAGCTGTCCACCATGAGTGACCATGTGGTATTTAAAATATCTGTGGCATAACTTTCAGCATCACAACAACACACAAGCCACCACAGTATGACAAACTAACAGATGAGCACTGATAAAGGGAACTTAGAAGAGGAATAACATTGATTTTGCATATATACACACAGTACCCATGGGAGGGGAAATCATTCGACAATCTCTTTGATATCTCAAGCAAGTAAAGTTTTGCTAAAGGTAATACAGAAATGGCTACAATCATACATTGACAGAGAACTTCCAGAGGTTCAAGCTGGATTCAGAAGAGGCCGTGGA